ATTACTAAAGTCAATTTAAATACATGGCTGAGGTCACAAATGAAGTGTTAAGAAATAAATAATAATCATATGGCTTTTAATATCACGTTATGTGTGGCAGCGTGAGTTAATAAGCATGTGCTTTGATGCTCTGAAACACTGTTTTACAAATGTTATCAGAACTGATTTCATTTTATTATGTTTTAATTGACATTATTCTACTACGTCTATTGACATTATTACTATGTCACACATACAATGTCTATTGACATTGCTCTTCATGTACGAGCAGGCGCAGCCATTTGAATCTTTTTGGCTCGAAACTTCGGTCTTATTTCAATTGTTTATGTTTTTGATTTATGTCTATTGACATTATTCTTCACATACAGCACAATCTCTTTGGCTCGAGACATCCGGTCTCATTCACTTCTATTGATTTCTAGATGTTACAAACAGCTTGTTATGCTGCTTGATGTTGCAAACTGATATTTGATTATGATGTTACTCTATGTTTTCGGTATTGTCATGAACACACTTGTTTGTAGAGTAAGTAGTTTGACCGTTTTATGCCGTTTTATTACTCCTAGTCATTTCTCCCATAGGCAGAGTGAGGATCAATAATGCTTTCCTAGTTAAATACAGTTACGCCAGCATAAACATAGACCCTACAAACAATGTTGTGTATAAAACATTGTAGCAGGCACATTCAAATATACATTCTTCATTCAGAAACAGGTTCATAAGAAATTAAGTTATGTTGCTGTTTTCAAACCTTTAAATTACAGATAAAACTACAATTTTGACTTTGTAGTGCATTTCTTTAGGCTTGAAAGTAAAGTAATTAGTAATTTGATTACTTTTTACATGCAGTAATTAGTAAGGAAATCAAATTACAATTTTAAAGCATCATTTGCAATGGATTACTTTTTGAGTAATTTACCCTAGACTGAAAATGTACTCAAACAAACTCATTCAAGCACCGCATCTCTCAGAACATCTGTGATATTGTTACACCGCAGCTATTAAACATCTAAAATAGCATACTGACCCAGTTGTATATTGTATAGAGGCAGACTGTGATAAACACAGACGCACATTTTATATGGACACTGATCTGGCCTTTAAAACAGAAAGCGAAGTGAAGCTTCTCATAAAAGGAGGCCAGACTGCAAATGTGTGCAATCCAACTCCAACAAGCAGGCCGTGTTTTATTTTTACGACTGGCTCCCACCTATTTTTGGGTGTCATCCAGAAAGTGCTAATATCCCTGCTGGTGGCCGGGGGAGAGGGATGCACCGTGTGCCCGCTCGAGGGGCACTGGGACGAGGGCAGATGGAGAGGAAGGCTGCCCCGGAGGAAGGAGCTCCGAGCAAACAGCCCTCATCAATCTCTTTCATCCTTAAACGCACTGAAGGGACGGGAGATGGAGTGAGTCGTTTACAGATCAAACACTCACCTCTCCGTCCCGCAGGACAGCAGGCGACACGCACGCTGGTGGGATCATAAACAAACTTGCGCTGACAGGAACTACATTGATTTTAATACAGACAAGCGTGCTTTTTTAGCATTGACTGTAACATACTGTCTGGCACAGTGTAACAAACAAATCAAGCAAATGCCAAAATCAATAAATTACTCGCAAGGCTCAGTTTACACTTGACATTTAGATGCTTTTTGGTTAATCTGATCACAAGTAGATGATGTTTTGAGCTCCTCTATTTTCAGCCACTTGCAGAACACAGATTTCATGCTTTCGTAGTGTAAACCACAAATGACCATCTACTGTACTCTCAAAAACGTATTCCAATTGTTGCTGATTTAAATATTTAAGTTGAACTAAATTAACTCTACAAGTAATTTAAGTTACTTCAATTAAAATGACTTAAAACATCAAATGAAACAATAAATGTGTACAACTTTATAAAATACTATGGAGACCCAGAAGGGATGTGAAGGAGGGGAAAAAAATGGGTGGAAGAAATAAAATAGTTTTTGCAAAATGTTTTGAGTTCCCTTGAAAAACTTTAGTTTGATAAACACTTCATGTTCACTTCATACATGTCAACCCTTCCGTTTTTGCCGGGATTCTCCTGTATTTTATCATTTTATCCCGCTATCATCCTATCATTAAGTATTTTGACATATTTTTCATCTTGAAAGCACTTTGAAATGAATATAAAAATGTCTGCATTCACCTTTTTTTCTATTAAAGCTGTGCGGCAATCTTCGCCCTTCATATGCAACCTTTAAATTAGTGAATGCATGTATATTGCATATGAAGGGCGATGATCGACATACAGCTTTAATAGAAAGAAAGTGAATGCAGACATTTTTATATTCATTTCAATGTGCTTTCAAGATGTAAAATATGAGAAAAATATGTCAAAATACTTAATGATAGGATGATAGCAGGATAGAATGGTAAAATACGTGAGAATCCCAGCAAAAACCAGAGGGTTGACATGTATGAAGTAAACAGGAAGTGTTTGTCAAACAACAGTTTTGTGAGGGAACGCAAAACATCTTTGTGTTCCCTCGCAAAACATACAGTTGAAGTCAGAATTATTAGCCCCCCCTGTTTATTTTTTTCCAAACACAACACACACACAAAAAAAAAAACATAAAACATAATAGTTTTAATAACTCATTTCTAATAACTGATTTATTTTATCTTTGTCATGATCACAGTAAATAATATTTGACTTTAGGTATTTTTCAAGACAATTTAAAGTGAAATTTAAAGGCTTAGCTAGGTTTATCAGGTTAGGCAGGTTAGGGTAATTAGGCAAGTTATTGTATAATGATGGTTTGTTCTGTAGACAGCCGAAAAAAAGAAATCGCTTAAAGGGGCTTATAATTTTGACCCTAAAATGGTTTTCAAAAAATTAAAAACTGCTTTTATTCTTGCCAAATTAAAACTAAGACTTTCTCCAAAAGAAAAAACATTATTAGACATACTATGAAAATTTCCTTGCTTTGTTAAACATTATTTGGATAATTTTTATAAAAGAAAAAAAAAATTAAAGAGGGACTAATATTTCTGACTTCAACTGTATTTGTGAGATAACAAAATATACAACTTCCTATCACCCATTTTTTTTCCTTCTACCCATTTTTTCCCCCACCCTCACGTCCCTTCCGAGTCGCTGTAAAATACAGCTGAAACCTTTTCAAATAACACAATTTAGGTAAAGTAACATAAACTTATGTTTTTTTTTACACTGAAGCTACAGTACAGAGCTAATTTTTTAAACCATTGCAGATGTCAGACAGGATTTAAACTTCGTAGCTTGACATTGTAAGTTTGAATCTCTGACCAGCACTGATTTGAACACAAACCACACCCTTCAGCAAAGTTTTGCCACTCTTAGCGAATAAATAAAAGTTTAAATTGAACCTCTCTTAATTGTCTCTTAAGCTTATTTCTCAATATTACATGGAAAAATTAGAAAAGGCCAATGCATACACCGGTTTGTAGACTCTCTACTCTGCGCAATCTGAAAAATGGTTGAAAGTGTACAAAAGAAATCTTTAAACTAAGTGTAAACAAGGTATACGTTCATATTTTTATTTTGCACCATGTTTAACTATCATTCTCACTGCAACTATCGATCTCCATATTGGTTCCCATGTTTCTGGCCAGCACATGAATTTTATATTTGCTGTAGGAGCCATTTGGTCACTTTATTTAGGTTGTTAATGATGATGTCTTTAATTTTTGAGATATGCACCCCTTGTAGGCCAGAGGAAGCTTAAAAGCCTGGGTGTGGCCAACTGGAGAAGGGCCTGCTGTTTGGAGCACATGGTCTTTAGACCTTACCCTCCAACCTTTTGGTGGCCAAGATTTATTAATTTATTTGATATCGGTTTTGTGTTCAAATTAACTCTACATTAAACAACAACAAATAAGACTTGTCGTTCCTTGTACTAATTGTAAGGAAGTGCCTAAAGCTCTCAGCAGACCCAAGGAACACCCAGGACTTTTGAGGAATCATAGTCACAACATTTGCAATTAATTAGGAATTCTTTTTAAATTACATTATTGACAAAACCACTCATGGGTCGTTTTAGTAGGTTTGATAATGTCTTGAAACCATATGGCAACAGAAATAAAGAATATAATGTTATACTCATAAGATCCAAGCTATTTTTAAATGATCGACTTGACATACATTTAACAAACATAGCCATTTCAGATTAAAAAACAAAAACAAATATTCTAAAAATGTTTAATTTGACTGTTTCTGCACCCTATTTTTTTGAATTGTTTAACAAAATATGTAACACTCAACATTGAGTGTACATTTACTCTACATAACTAAACTGCAAATGAAAAGTTTACCTAATATTTTGGCCCGATACTTACTTGATAATGCAAAGTAATAATTTAGTATTTGAGTTACAAACTAACATATTTGTGTCATGTCGGAACTAAAATGTGAATTTTATTGATAGAATACTAATGACTTTATGAAATAATATATAATAAAATGTATGCATAGTTTACATTTTGAGTTTTATTTGAACAAATTCATATTTTTATTTAGCAAATATACACTGAATTAACGGACTATTTTATTAAATATCTCATTATAAAATATGTTTTATGATTAAAGGGTTAGGGTTATGCAATAAAAATTTAATAAATAAAATAAAAGCATTGTTTTTATCTTTTTTATTCCATTAAAAAAAAGGTGAATTAATAAATAAAAAATATCCCACTATTAGGCATCACACACAAGTTTCTTGAGCACCACACATCAGCATATCGGAATGATGCCACTATAAATAAAGTGTTGAATGAAATGCAATTCACCTCTTAACACACAGCAGATCATGTCAGCTTTGAAACAGCAGTTCAAACCAGAGGCTTGTTTCCCATGATGCACTGCTCAGCTTGAAGATGCACAGATACGAGCTGAAAGTGTGTAGGTGTACATGTGTCCAGATGGACGACAGTGTGTGTGTGTGTGTGTGTGTGTGTGTGTGTGTGAGAGGGCTAAAAGGTCAGAGTGACTCACAGACTTGCGTATGTTTCCACGTGGTTTAGGTACAGGTTTGGAGGGTTTGCTGTCGAAGCTCTCAGGCAGAGTTGAAGACCCGTGGCCACTCTTTCTGGCCTGCAAAGCCAGCTGATATGCCACCTCAAACGCCTGGCCTAACGTCAAGATAATCTCATAGGCCAGATTCTGGGAGGAAAAACAAAAACAGAAGTAAATTAATATTTAAAAATCAACCAAAAGTTCACATTTAGGCTTCTGCACATAGAGGAAAAAAGCCTTCAAGATTTGACTGCAGTTTAGTTGCTACTACATTTGGCTACAGTTTCAGCATTTCTCTTCCATAATTTTAGAGCTTAGAGATGTTTAAATGATTAAAAACATGCTTTGAGCAGGTTCTGAATTATTCATGTGTTGTGACTAGCTGACGCAGAGACAGCTCCGTGGTGTTACTGTGACAGACGCCAACACAGAAGACACCAACTTATTAAAGCCACTATTTCCACAAATACAAAAACACATATGCTAGCAAAAAATGTAGACTTTCTAATTTAAATAAGTAAACAGGTGCTATAGGCATGAGATTTGCTATCATCAAGATCTGACAGACCAACAGAAGAAGTTAGATTGCTGTATTTTTGTTAAACTCTAGCTTCAAGTTTTGTTTTTGACCATTAGATTGTGTCTCGTTTAACGTAAATCTCTTTGACCCAAAATAATGACTATCTTTGACTATCACACATTTTTACAATGATTTACACTTGACACTAATAGAGAAAAATCTTGTCATGCGTATTTAAATCAAGTAATCATCTCTTTTAAGAATCCAAATATTAATAAATTGTCATTTTAAATCTTAATATTTGGTCAGTATCCTTCAAAACAGTAAGTTTTACCCATTTGTCAGCAAGATGTTTCTAACCACTTCAAGTATAAAGTTCACATATTGTTTTATATATTTTAGTAAGTAGTAGGGCTGTTTCTATTTTGTTTTGCTGTAATGTATATCATGATATAAATATAGTATTACCAGATGAATTGATTTGAGCTCTATTTGAAAAGATTTCATTTATTTAGATCGACTGGGGCGATTTACCTATGCAATGCATCTGCATGAAATATAATAGAATATGAGCATACTGTATATAACTACAATAGAATAAATGTAAAAGTTTAATAAACTGTGCTTTTTTACAATTTAACAATCAAACATAAAATAACATGGTCGTCATTGTATGAACAATTGTATACAATAATATGTAATACTATCTTTATCTTTTAATCTTAAATAAATAATCTAATCCTACGTTTAAAGTATTGTCGATGCACATATTGCGTTATAGATGTTTGAGCGATATTGTTCAGCCCTAGTACTGTAAGTTGTCAGAATAAGGGCTCTATTTTGACGGTCCATGCGCAAAGCGCAAAACGCAGGGCGCAAACGGTTTCAGGGCGTGTCAGAATCCACTTTTGCTAATTAAAGGTCGGAAAAATCTGCTTTGCGCTGTGGTGCATGGTCTAAAAGGGTTGAGTTTATTTTCTTATTGAGTTATAGGTGTGTTTTAAGAATAAATCAATTAGAGTCTCATCTCCCATTTCCTTTAAGAGCCAGTTGCATTGCGCCATAAGCACATTTGCTATTTACATGACGTACAGTAAAGTAAGTGCAAGTGGAAAAACTGAGCATTTAACTAGCAAGAAAACAGTTAAACAGAGCATCTGCGCACATATGAGTGCAAATGCATTTGCCATTTAAACAGCGTTTCGCAACACCTCAAAACGACTCTTGCGCCGAGCTGAAAGTAGCAAATAACAATTGCGTCGCGCCTTGCGCCACATTGTGCCAGGTGTATGATAGGGCCCTAAGTGTTTTCTTTCATTTTTCCATAAATGTATATGTTTTCGCAAATGTTATTGCATATAACATTTCATTATACCCATATTTGATTTTTGCATATCTTTCAAATAACTTGTTTATCTTGTACATAAAATTTGATGTCAACATCTAAATATTCAAGATTAAATAATTAAGGCAGCTTTTTCCTTTTTCAAATTTTCAAATTTTTTTTATCAATGTTCACAAATATTTAAACAAGTACTTCATTGTTATTTATCACAGTAACTCCTAAAAGAAGTCTTGCAACCTATGCATGACCTTTGAGCATTTGTAAGTGAGCTTTAATGGATGTTTTATTTTATTTATGTGCAGTACTGTATGTGTGATCATTTATGTATTACGAACCACATCGAAGGCTGTAAACACATGGCAGTAATGATGGCTGGATTTCAGGTCCTTGGTGATGTATGCAAATGTGGACAAATCTTCAGGATCCTGAGCCGCACAAGAGATATTCCTGATCTCATGCTCCGCGATAATGTTCTGAACAGCAGAGCAAAGAACACAATGTCAGATCCAATTCAAGGTGTATTTATTAACCACATTACTTTTCTACATAGCACACACAGTTGCAGACAAAACAAGTTACAAGTTTACAAGAGAGATTTCCCTCTTGTAAAAATGTAATTCTTATTAAAAGATTATTAAATTGGTATTTAAAAGAACAAAGTTGCTTTTTAAACAAGTCTTCAAACATAACAGTTTTAATAACTTATTTGTAATAACAATTTGTTGTTATTTCAATCATTTTAGTAATAACTTTTTTTGACAATGCCATTATGACAGAACAATATTTTACTAGTCATTTTACAGCATACTATTCAGTTAAAAGTGCAATGATAGGCTTAACTAAGGTTAACTAGGCAAGTGACTGAACTGCAGTGGTTAGTTCTGTAGCCAATGGAAATAAATAATTTCTTAAGAGGCTAATAATTTTGACCTTAAAACTGTCTTAAAAATGTAAAATAATATGTTTTCATTTCCGCCAAACCAAGAGAAATAGGACTTTCTGCAGAATAATAATTTAAAAAACTATTAAAATATCCTTGCTTTCTTAGTCATCACTTGTGAAATATTTTACAAAGAATAAACATATCACAGGAGGCTGAATAACTTTACCTTTAACTGTATACAGCTAAAATGTAAAGACCATTTGAAAATTCAGTTCTCCCGGATTTACTGGATTTATTAGGTATTAGCAAAAAGTGTGTAGTGGCAAAATGTTAATATTTGTGTTGGTTTTGTCCAAGTTTTAAATAAAAGAATATCGTAATAAAATATATTTTTAACAGAAACAACAAAGAATTTGAGCGATAGAAAATCTGAGTATTTCCTCTAAATATTGGTATCTTAACTCTTCTCAAGTTAAAACACTGATGTTGTTTTGTCTAAAAGTAATATAAACAGTAGACCATTTTGAAGAATGTAATCAACAACAACGGCCCTTATGTATTTCCTGTTTTACATTTTTAGTTTCTATGGCTTCTGAGAATGCAAATAAGTCCACATATTGATCAATAATTTTATGAGAGCTGTTTTAATGTTAAGCTATGATTAAATTCCCTTTTGTTACAGTAATGAAATAGTAGGACAACAAGCGGGAAATGTTCATGGGCCAATGAGATGACTACATTGAAAATGCCTAAATACCACATAATATTTATACTGTATATACACAAGCAAAGTAATTTTTTTTTCCTTTTAAAAATATTTCCCAGATTTCGCTTATCGGAGAGAATATTTTAAAAACGCATGTTTAGACATAATAGTTTTAAAAACTAATGTCTAATAACATTTTTTGTCTTTGCCATGGTGACTGCATAATATTGGTTTACTTATTTTGCAAGATAATATTTTTCACTTTAAGTGCAATTTAAGGACTTAACTAGATTTAATTTAAATTATTGGATAAAAAACTATTTAAAACTGATCACAAATTAAAGAAAAAATAAGACAATCCCGACAAGAAAAATATATTATAGGAAATACTGTGAAAATTTCCTTGGTCTGTTACACAACTAAAAGAATAAAAAATTTCATAGGAGGGCTAATAAATTTGACTTCAACTGCATTCATTGGTTAAGTAATTATTTTTTTCTTTCAGTCACTCATTTTTTCATTAATTTGTAATTAAACATTTATAATAAAAATCCTCAATTATATGTGCTAAATTAGTGATTTCAAGGTAGTGCAATAAAATGGAAGTTAAGCACAAAATGTGACTTCTAACGGCACTTAATCATTCTCTGTGAGATTAATGTAACATCCTTTATCTTTCTTTCCTCAGTGAAACTCAATTGATTGTGATTTATTAATTTAAATACATTTTCCCTCACTCACAGCCCTAACCTTTATACGTGTTAAAATGAAAAGATGAAAGTTACGAAAACAACCTATGTATAAATTTGGCAGCATTTGATCACCTTGTTAGTAGCATCGATGAACTTGACGCCCTTATAGGAGACAGACAGTACTATGGTGGGGATCTTCTTCATCTGTTCTGTCGACTTCTTACAGAAAGAACGAGAAGGGAAAAGATCAGCATTAACATTCACAGACTGACTGAGATCTATTCAATACAGGCTCAAACGCACACTCAATTATTTACACGTGACGTCATTCAGTCCCCTGCAATAACCCAGATAGTGTGGCATCTCATGAGACAAATAAAAAGGGCCGAAATAACATTGTGTAGTGTTCAAAATGAGGCCTTATTGAATGTGAAAGTGGCTGGTAATGAATGCACCTCTGCTGAAATAAAAGGCTGTTTTAGCTGCGCCGGTAGAAAAAACAAGGCTTTCAAAGGATTTTCATTCAGATGTTGATAGCAAGTTTTACAAATATTTATAAAGAAACGTTGAATTAAATGTTTGATGCTTAATTTTTGGAGACATAGTAAAACTGAGAAGAAGAAGGACTTTGTGATATGAGAACATTTTTTATATATATATGTTTTCTTGCATTTCTTGCTTATACTACTATATATTTTTTATACATTGACTATAAAAAAATTCATCATACCCCTTTGAAATGATTACTTACAGTATTTGTCATACAGCCTGAAATCAAATCACCTTTCAAATAATTTTTCCAGTCTTTGAAATATGTTTGTAGCCTTCTCCTAACCGTTGTCTTCATCCACAAGGTCTTTAAAAAGCAGGGCGTAATGTAGTTGATGATTTTCTATAGGCACTGTATATTAATTTGTCAACAATGTTTTAATGGGATTGGATTACTCTATAAATATTGCTTTCCTGACTCAAAATTCTAAATTTAATCAAAAAATTAATTACTACAGTACATATCGTTTATTATAATTTTTATTACTATACTATTATATACATAATTATACTATACTATTTCAAAGCAAATTGTGACTGTTAGTAATATTTACTGTTAGGAACATTTGATACTCATACTTTCCTTGTATATTAAATGCAATTTTATCTGTATTTCATAAAACAACAAAAATAAAGGTGAGCCAACAAATAATAACAAAATACAACAATTAACTCGCCAACTTGAAGAAAACGGAAACATTGGATATTAATATATGTAAATAAATAAAGTTTATTTGACATCATGCTACCTTTAATACATTATTATTAATGGTATTTATATACAGTTATTATATAACAGCATTATTTAAAGTGGACCTTTTCACAAGACTGTTATGATGCATTTAACAGCCATCATAATCTTAAATCCTTTAAACTTTTTAATATTTAGATTTTTTTTTAAAACACGAACATTTGTATGCATTTATGAATGTATTATATCATATTTGCGTACAAAATGTCAAAAAACAAATTACTGCTTATGCGAGGTGTTTCTAATGTAGCGTCTATGAGGTTGAGAGTAAATTTGATGTTATTCTCTCCTCTGGCTCACACTATTTTTTCCTTTTTCTGAAAGTCGTTTTTTACTTTTTTTACGTTTATTTATGTGCTTTTTGCTGCAACAAAATACAGGAAAAAAACTATTCAATACACTACAATATAATACATATAAAATACAATACATTAAAAAATATATATATAATAATAATAAAATAAAATAATTAAAAAAAACACTAACCTATGACAGAACAACCAAACGACAGAACACAGAGGGACAAATGCACATGAAAGCAAAATATAATTTAGCTGGTCAGGTAATGCATAAATAAAAGCAATTATAAAGTAACGTTGTTGTATCAACAGAAAATGCATTACCCTGACTACAGTTTTATTGTCAAATAATAGTTTGGCCACATTATTAAGAATTTTATAGATTATGAATATTAATTAAGCTCAATCTTTAATTACTGTGCTATCGAAAGGGGTTATTGGTTAGCTTGTGTTTCTTCCAATGCTAATATCTGTCCCCATGTTTTGTCAAACATACGCAATTTGTCATTATTGATATATCTCAACGTCTCCAAAGCAAGCATGTTTACCATATCTTTTTCTGAAAGTCTTGATAACACCATTCTGGAGCTTTTCTTTTATTATTTTAGCAAATAGGGTTGTAAAAAATTTATGAAAAACATGGAAATGTGAAAAGGATCTATATTACAATATTTAAAAGATTTTAGCAGTTAAAAAAATTGCAATTAAAAATTCTAATAAACTTTAAAATAATCTATAAAATTGCTATAAACTACAAATGGCACGTATGTGTCTCAAATAACTACAAACAAACAGCAAGCACCATGGAAAAAATATGACATTTTGAAGAACACAATCTTCCCTTTTTAAATAGGGTATATGCACAACTACTGTTCCCTTCTATGCCGATAAACTTCTGGTAAACGGTTAAATGACTTTTTTCAATTTTATACGGTTCCTTTAACAGCATTGATGTTGTAATGTAATTAAAATACAATCAGCTAAATAGACTTCAGCATTTATTTACTTGTTCAAGCGTAAAACAAGATGAAAAGCCGTTTACACACATGCACCTGTCAGGATCAGCGGGCTAGCGCAGAAACTCCATTGTATAAAATATATAAATACTGGGATAAAATAAATGTTCATATTGTAAGGACATTGTAGGACTTTCCAGTATGTGTCACTATTGTTTGCATATGTATATTATTAAAGATGGATGTTATTACGCTTCAGAGTATTTGAAGGATAAATATAAGTATGTATATTTGCCATGTAAGTTTAAATGCAGGCACATTTATGTTGTATTTTCATATATGTCATAATTGTGATAGATTACGCATATGTGTATTACCGTTTCTAGCCGATAGGTTGTGTCTGAGAATAAATTAAGACGCAGGTTTCATTTTTCTTTTCTCTCAGTTAGTTATTGTTCAGGGCCGGTACGCTTGCCGGTTTATAACCTAGCTACTAGCAACTGTTAATTAAACGAGGAAGGACGTCTAAGTTTGACAGACTCGTGTACCGTCAGTACAGCTGTCTAGTTTGTGGATGAACATTGTGTATGTGTACGCAATAAAAGTTCAGCAGTGGCTCGAGTTGTATCTATTGTACTTGCCCTGAAACCCTTCCAGTTGGGAGTTTATTGAGGTACAGAGAGTAACCTGATAAAAACGGGACAGACATGGCATGGAAAAAATTATTTAATGCAGTGCTTCTTGTACATTCTGAGACCCACTTTATATTGTATATCAATCAGGCAGTGAAGATTGTCGATTTTTAAAGAAAACAGACCTTAAACACGCCAATTTTGTAACGCCATGTAGTTCCCTGGAAGCGCTTGATCCAGGCTACTGCAAAATTAAAAAAGTCCTTCTGGATACTTCTGCATTTACTCTTTATTTTAAAATTAGAAATAAAAATGTCTGCAAGTAACACTTTACTTAGAATTTAATGTACAAATTTTTGTTCAACAGAAAACAGACTGATTTATTGTTATTCTTATATATATTATTATATAACTGTAATATTTTAATTATGTTAATATTCTACATTTTAAAATGATATTACTTATAGTTTTTTCAAAAGAATCTAAGCTATTTTGAGCAGACAGACAATAACAGCTCTGGTTTAGCTGAAAACAGACTGCTTTCCCTTTGGTCTGTCAGTATAGGGCAAGCCCTCTGAAAACCCAGCAAACCAGGAAAAAAAATCTCAGTCTGCAGGACCCCAAAATCACATGGAGCAGAGGAAGATGAAGGTGATGAAGAATTCAAACTCATTTTCATATCTTCCTGCGCCGTCATATTAGCTGTCAGAGAGGAATATATATTCATGTGGACCTCATTTCCTCTCTCGCTCTCTCTCCTCTTTGCTGTTCTGTACCTGCCAAAATATTCAGCCTAAAACAAAGAGTGCGGGATGGAGGACCTACATTTACACCCTCTGACTGTATTAATGTGCGTGTGAAGAAGCGAGGGGCGGCAGGTCTCAAACTCTCATCCGAAACAGCAGAGAGGGCGAAAGAGAGAGAGACGGAGAACAGATGGTGTTTTACATGCACACAAACACAGAGCCAGTGAACTGTCCTGCCGTGTTAAATAATCTCATGAGGCTGCAAGGTATGCTGAGGTAAAAGACGCTTAAAGGGGACATGAAAATCAGACTTTTGCTTTGTTTAAGTGTATATTAAGTTATATTGGGTCCATAGTGCTTCTACCAGCTGATTAACATGAATAAAACCAAATTTGTTTTAGTAATAGTAATTATTTCCATTAAATTTGTTAATGATCTGCATGTTTCCACCCACTTTGCCATTTCTGCTTACTCGCTGTAGCAGCAGAGATTTACAAAATCTGTGCCATAAAAGAAAACATTACAATTTTTTTTTATTGTAGAGACTTCACAAATCTGAAGACCTTAAGGAAGAGTTTCTCTATAAATGGAAATATTTTATTGTTACGACCAGTGTTTTTTTTTATTATTTATATTTTTTATGTGTATCTTTATGTGTTTTCTTGTCCCTCCTTCCTGTGTGTTTTCTCATCCTATAGATTGCCTATAGTAATATGATCCAGACTGTGATCAGCTGCTGATTAAGGCATGGGCTATAAGCAAAGCTGCTGGTAGGGCTCTAGGAGCTCATTTCTATGATGGGGTAGAGAGCTCTTGGATCCCCTCCACCATTATGTCTTATGCAGAGATTGTCCAAAAAGGATATGAAATATTTTAGAAAAATTGAGCATAAAGGGGTGGCCTGAATATTCTTTCACTTTAGTGAGTGTCCGTGTTTGGTTGTGGACCAAAAGGGATCTTTTTGGAAAATCCACCAACACAACCCAATTATTAATTATGCCCTTTAGTAATTTATTGTCACCTAGACTCGGAGCGAAATAGTTATATATTTGGGAAAATGTACTTAATGCCACACTACTTTACCAATGAGGGTTAGTTCAACACTGTTTATGCAGGATGTATCAATATCAATGCTTTGTGCGCTAATGTCATATCAAAAATAAAAACTAAGTCTAGTTACCATAACGTTACCATTATAACAAACTGTGATTCATAAAGGCTGATTTATTATGCAGTATAGTCAGCTGACACAATTTTTAAGATTAGAGCAATATACTAATAGTAAAATTTTTATTTTCAAACACTAGCACATTCGAGAATTAACTGAGAGCAGTAACATGCTAGTTGATGTGTTAATTAACGTTACTCCACAACAACAAAAGGTTTAGTGTCTGTCATGGTGACACAAGCCTTACCCTCATTTTTGCACAGGCATCATGTGTGGATTCTGTACCGCGCAGCTCCTTCACCAACATCGAGCCCAGATACTGCAGAGCAAACACACACACACACATAATCACTGTACAATTCATCTGTAAGTGTATCATCTAACAAATGTAGATAGATTAAAAAACAACAGTAACTGAATACATTTATGGTGTATTCGTTTTCTATATGTAAAATATATGTCACAAAAATGTACGATATTTAACATTATCATTATTAACTTTAAGCTAATTGTTTAAGCTATGTATTAATTCAAGTATTTATTTATTAAAATTAATGTAAGCCTGTTTATATTCATATTCTTTTTTATCAAAGGTTAACATTCATTAATTTTCTTTTCGGTTTAGTCCCATTATTAATCACAGCGGAATGAACCTCCAACTTATCCAGCATATGTTTTACGCAGTATACGGATGCCCTTCTACCCAAACCACCCATACACTTCCATTAACACAAATACACTACGGACAATTTAGCTTAACCAATTCACCTGTACCACATTTCTTTGAACTTGTGGGGGAAACCTGAGCACCCGGAGGAAACACACGCAAACATGGGGAGAACATGCAAACTCCACACTGAAATTGCAACTTACCCAGCAGAAGCTTGACCCAGTGTTTTTTTTAGGAACCGTGCTGCTCAAGATTAACATTACTATTAATAATATTATTAACTTTAATAATTACTTTTTATTGCAAAACATTACAATCTAGATGTGTATATAAAACAAGTAACAATAGCCTTGTCAGGTTGTACAGTAAATGTGTATGACTGTGAGTGAATGTAAAAGTAGCTGTCTGAAGTCAAATGTGCAGGAAAAGGCTCTCTTTGCTGTTGAAATCTGGTGAAATGTTACGCAGCACTGCTGCCCCTCAGACAAGGACAACCTTTATCAAGCCACTGGCCCATGTTTCACATCAAACCTTTCTGCAATCTACCATCAGCACATGTGACAAGCTTTTGTTAAACACTCAGATACTGCAAAACTCCATCTTCTAAAGATCAGATTGAAGACTGAATGGTGATGGTGAAGGTGACAGGCTGATGCTGGAGTCACAGGTACTCATTTTCAATGTCAAAGTTAAATTTCCAAATCCACTATACAGCGATAATCATCCTACAACTTTTTGGTTTTTATTTATTGATTATTTTTAACACTAATACATATTAATTCACAAGTTGTAGTAATATTTTGTCTTTAATTTTAATATCTTAATAATTTTAATTTTACTTATTTTGTCTTCCATGTTAAAAGGTACGACTAGCGATGTAACTCATCTAGTGATGTCAAACACACAAGGCATATCGCCAATTTTTGTATCTAAAAATGAGCGAACAACACATTAAAGTCGCAGCTTTATGCAATTTAATGGCAAGTAACATGAACAAGGATCTGTGCATTTATGCTTTGTTTACTTATGGTTATATTGCTTCATGTACATTGTGTTTTTGTTGCCATAGGAACATTTGATTTTCTGATTTAAGTTATTGTTTGCTAAACCTGCACTTGGAAAACTAGCTCACAGGGATTTTTTTTTTACAAAACTGCATAAAGCTGCTTTATAAAAGCCATAAAAGAGCTGTGCAATTTGATTAAAATATGAAATTGTGATTTTTCTGATTGATATTGTGATTCGATTTGAGATTTAATTTAATGAAGCCTAGTATCAGCTCATTATTCTTAATAATGTGCAGCACACACTTTAAATGAAAGGAATACAACAACCTTTAATGGTCTTTTAAAAATATATATATATTTATTAACTACCTATATAAACATGCATGAACAATAACAGCTAATTACAATGTTACAGGATTTACACTAAGTTTTCAAAATCATAATAATCATTCATGATTTTAATAATAATGTAAATATGAAATGGTAACATTAACCGTCAGAACGTTTTCAGTGGTTTACCTTGAAACTGGCGATCGTGACCACACAAGGTACTACATAATCATAAAATCATTACACTTCTACACTCCACTGTATGATTTGAGCTCAGACAGGCATTGATCCACAGATCTGGCCGTTTCTTCAAGGCTCAGCACGGGAAGTAAACTCTTGACCTCCGTCACACTCACACACATGCATTCTGCTTATAAACTCCATCAGTGCGTTTGGCACAGCCAATCAGATTTACATGGTTGTTGCTAGGAAACAGAGTGGGTTTATGTAAGCTAATACTAGAGCCGCTCGGCCCAGAGAGAGCTGAAAAACACTGTATTGATTGAAGGTTAAAACACCATTATTCACCACTGAAATACTAAAGCACTCGCTGATAGCTTTCACGTTTGCTTTTCTCTTCTTATCTGAAGGCCAAATCTGCACTGAAATACATTCGCATTAAGGCAAGACACTGCGGGGGAAACGGGGAAAAAAATGTATCTATCTATACTTTACTATCTATACTTCACTATATCTTACTCATCATACAGTACGTCCCCAGCTTGATTAATTGCATAATTTAAAATAAATAAATAAATCGCAAACATTTTTGTATTACACAATTTTCTAAATAAATTGCTTAATAAATAAGTTGTGTTTAAATATCTGATATCTGAGCATTGGCTACAATAAGGTCTAAAACAATAAGGTTTATTTAAGGTTAATTATGTCACTTTCCAAAACCTTTTCATTCAATGTTTCTCACTGGTGAATAGATCTTCCCATTATCATTCACACTGCAGACAAACGACAACTAAAAACCCATATATTCATAGAGCACCAAACCCCAGAGAATAATACCAAAACCGCCTATAGAAGATCTTTGTAATGTAATGTATTTTTATGTAATGTAATGTGCATTTATATAGCGCATTTTATCATGTATGGCCAAACACCCAAAGCGCTTTACTATCATGAGGGGGGTCTCTCCACACCACCATCATTGTGCAGCATCCACTTAGATGATGCGACGGTGGTCACAGAACAATGGCGCCAGTGCGCTCACCACACACCAGCTAATGGTGGAGAGAAGGCTTACACCCCTACTCTTTACAAAAAATGTCATAGGATTTTTAAAGGCGGAAATACTTTCCGACTCCAAAAGACTTTCTCTCTCTGTTTCTTTTTCAAATAATAATAATAATAATAAAAAAACCTCCTACTCTAGCATTAAATTTCTCTGGACACAAACAAGTCACTTTGAATAACTAACACTTCTTGTATGTATTGCCTTTACTTGTTGAATTGCTGAATGCCTCCTCAATTGTGAGTCGCTTTGAAAAAAAGCATCTGCTAAATGACTAAATGTAAATGTCTAAATGTCAATGGACAAAAGAAACAATTAAAAGTCTATTTTAGATGTTAATTTACATTTGCAAAAAAAAAAAATTGATAGAATCCCCCTTAAAAATTTGGTAGCCCAAAGTGTTGATGTCGGTCAGTCAAACAGGCAGACTCACATATGCTTCATAGTCACAGGACTGGAAGATGAGCTTCTCTGGATGGTGTTGCCAGTACTGCACCGGTGTAGACGACGTCGCCTCATTTGGGGGTCGTAGCGTGATGGGCTCACACCATTCACCTTGCTGGAAAATCAGAGGTGACAAGGATACATGTTAATCAATAAATCCAGCTCCGGTGTTTAGGTTGCAATCACTGAACCTCAAGTTTTTTTAAATCTACTGACTGATTATTGCTTGCTTGCTTGATTGACTGATTGATTAATTTGTTTCAATTTTAGCTGCAAGCACTCATCGATAATCTCACAAACTTCTGTCCAAATGCTACATATTGTATCCTATAACCCCACTTAACCGAGTGCACTGCGATAATCATCTTTCTTTTTTCCTGGAACACAGGGTTCAGCCTGTACCTGAATAGTTGCTAAGCAATTCAGTTCACATTTTTTATTTGTTCTAAAGCCTTTTTCCTCCTCTCTCTCTCCCACTGTAACAATATATTGTGCCACAGGGCAGGAAAACACTGATAAAGGCTAAAAGAGGATGAGCACACATGGCTTTTGTGTAACCCTTTGCCATTACCTTCAGTGTAATAACTCATTCTATTCACAATCACCGCAAAACACACATCACTGATAAGCTCACAATGAGAGATCTCAGCCAAAATACATTCACAAACACACACACACACACACACACACACACACACACACACACACACACACACACACATCACACCACTGATTTACTGGGAGTCTGTCCTGACAAAAAGGTGCACAAAGTGAAACTGATCACACCAAAACACAGGCAGAGAAGAGTAGTGCACTAACTCACCATACTGACTTGTGCCATCTGTCTCTCTAGTTTAGAGCGCGGCACATCCTCAAAGTAGTTGTCGTTGCGTCTGCGTCTGGCATCCGCCTGCATGATGAGGTGCTGGACGTCCAGAGAGCCGGCGTTGGGGTAGGCCTGACTCAGAGACGGGGACAGCTGAGGGGGAGTGTGGTTCCCAGTCGGCTCCTGCGGCATGGTGATTGAAAAAAAGGTTTAAGGGGTTAGCATGGTGGTTTGACAGGACTTGACAGTGTCAGCATTTTGTGACTGTAATCCAACTGTGAACTGTATTTAAGAGCAAGTGTGGGAAAAAAGCAGGTTTGCATGAGATTTCAAAGTCACAGTGAAATGCAAAAGCAGCAACTATGATGAAATCAGTTCCCAATAGACAAAATCCAGTCCCCGGTCCCGCTCTACGTTTTTTCTTGTTCACAAATCTGGTTTATTCACATAAGTCAGAACAGGAGAAAATTACTATGGCAGCTTTCAGGTTTCAAATGCACTTTAAAAGTCTTACAATCGGTGATAAGTATTTTACATTTTAGAAGTTCTTCCTGTGCTTAAATAACAAATATCCCTACATAACTTCTAAATGTGATCATTACACCACAAAATGCAATGATTTTAATATGGGTTCCCACTCTAAGACAAATATCAAAAACCGTGATTTTCAAGTGACACAAAAATCTGAATTTCCATGAGCACTAAAGAAAAAAAGGCTGCATTGCATAATATTTAAATGATTTTAGCGTGAATAAAATCTTGCATGACTTTAATAGCCAGTTTTACAACATTTGATAATTTACCTCAAAAACATGTGAAAAGCTCCCTCTTCCATATTTGATAGCTCGATAGTAGCTTTACAAAGTTTACATTTCACTTTTCTGTAGTCTATCGTTTAAACACTTTAAAATAGTCAGCCTTTCAAATGCAGATTTTGAAGCCAAAGCTCTTAAAATGTATATTATCCTGGCATGATAGCCTGACTTAAGGGATTGGCAGTTGATGAGCATAAAAATTATTAAATGGAGCTGAAAATAGCCTAACCATAACAATAGGCGTAAAGCATAACAGTAGGCGTAAAGCATAACAATAGGGGTAAAACATAAGAGTATAAAAAATACATTATGAAAAATGACATTTTAATAAATAAACAATTTTTTTTTATTGACAAACAAAAATACCAGATATTCTATAATCTTGACTCAAAGTAATATAAAATGGCAGAATAATGTTCATGAGGGAAACTAACAGTGTGCAATCTAACTGTTATTAGAGCATGTCATGATTTCACCAAGTATGATGCAATCGTAGATAAGCATCAATTTTGATCCTTTTTGTTTGAAAATCTAATCCATATCTACAGTATTCCCTACCCCTAATCCCAACTATAACCATAAATTATTCCAAAAATTAAAGGAGAATAAAAGTTGGATAACAATCATGTAGAAGGGCATAAACCTAATCGTAAGATTAAACTTAACATAAACAGTAAACCTGTCCCTTGTTCCAGGATCAGCATAGATGTCAATCCAGGAACATGTCCTACTTACGGTGGACGAGAGAGCTTAACGTGCATCAAATTAAATGACATGTACAATTACAAAAAACGCCAGCAAATTAAGAATTTTCACACAATGCAATTAATTTCATAAAACGTGCTGCATTTTCACACAATGCAAACAATTTAAGAAAACACTCACAACACTCCTAAAAATATCATAGCACAATGGAAATGTTTCAAGTGGACTCAAAAACATGACAAGACACTTCTCTGCCATGACTATTGCTCAGTGAAGTTTTAGGTGATTTATTAAAGGTGAGTTGTTTTCTTGTTTGTTTATTTTGACATCCTGATTCCCTTTTTTTTGTATTTCAAGAGCCTAAATAGCCATAACCTCAATAGCTTTGTTTTTGGGTCTACTTGAAACATTTCCATTGTGTTGTGTGCTTTTTGAAAGTCGTAAATTGTTTGCATTGTGAGAAAATTCAGCGTATTTTATTTTTTTGTTTGCGTTGTGAGAAAAAGTAGCGTGTTTTTTAAAAATAGATTTGCGTTGTGAGGATTTGCAACACATGTACTCAGATAAAGTTCTTTTCTAAACTTCCTGGTGTTTTTTGTAATTGCATGTGTTAATTGCAGCATGTTAATCTCTCTGGTTCACTGTACCTACTTGGTGAAATCATCACCACAAAAACGATGTGAATCACAAACATGAGTGCAACTTTGAACAGTTGGTGGCGCTAAAAGCATTTAGTTATAGACTCCAAATTTGCTGCAATAAAAGATATTTCATCCAAAAAAATCAGCCTCACGTGGTTCTAAACTTTTATGAAAATAATATATTCTATTGTAATATTGGAAATAAGCAGCTTTTATTTGAAAAACAAATAAAACTATAAAACAATCTTTTATTTGGAACAATTTTCCTTTCTGTTCAATAGAAGAAAGACATTCCGAAATGTTTGGAAAAAGCAGAGCATGACTACATTATGACAGAAATGTAATTTTAGAGTGAACCACCCCTTTAATGTTCTGACAGTCCTCTATACGTGGGCCAATTTCAACAACATTTCACAATACAGTTCTATGAGCTGGCCTTTACAGTAAATGATTCCTTACATCTGTTGCACAGCAATTGATTTTTTTATATTTTCACTTTGCATCTACAATTCTACATTTTTGAGTTCCTAAATTCTTGAATTATGAAAAAAAGCTTAAGTTTCTTATCAAACTACTAAGAGCTGAATAGAAAGTCTTCAATGACTTTATTAATGTACAGTAAATCCAGCTCTTTGCTTGTTTTTGCTTGATGTTTGTGCTTGAATCCATTTTTTAAAGTCATATATCAGTTTTTGCATCAGGCAATTCTTCAAAATAAGCAGTGGCCCCAGGGAACTATGCTCTCTGTTGCTCTGGACTGTCTTTTATATGGATTTGACTCTTGGAGAAGCGTTTGAGAGCAGCTGTCTGATCCAGCCTGGAAGATCAAGTTAAATCCCCACAGCGGCTCAGGATAAAGAACGCCATCGCTCTCAGGATAAGACCAAATCGCACAGAAAGTGACATTTTCGGGTTTTCTTAAAGTCATTCCTCTCTATGAATTCTGCAGGGAGCACATAAAAACAGCACGCGCACACGCACACATACTGTACATGCAGACATTACGGGTGACATTTAGGATGAACATTACATTTATTGTTTAAATCTTTGTACTGACCCGTAGGGAAATGGCCCGTGGTGGCTTCTGTGGAGGGTCTTCGTGCAGTCGATCTCCGAGTGACGCTAGTATTCTTTTCCTGTGGCCGATCAAATTAATCTTAAGAACCTAAAAGACAGAAACAAAGAACAGTGAGCATCTAAAAACACTGAACATATAAAAGCAAACTGGCACTTCAGTAGTGCAGAGCAAAATAAAACATTATTCTTTTCAAGTGAACATGAAACCAAAATAGCCTTATTTGTTAAAAAAGGCTTTATTTCCTCTGTGTGTTTCATTCTTAAATAAATATATGAATAAACAGAAAGCTCGTGTTGTACTACTAAAATAAAACGTGCTATTTTTACAATTACAATATAAAAATTTAAATATGATCCAAATGCAAGCCACTGCTATGGAATATACTATACTACTACTTCTGATAAAAAAATGAATACTATTGTAATTTGATCCAGTGCTAGTGCTACTGCTACTACCAATAATAATAAAATATAATACAAAAATAATAAAGCATGATCATACAACAGTAAAAATCAACTGAATAGACATTTCATTAACTGTAATAATGTACTTTGTCCAGCATACCACTACTACTCTAATTATAAGAAAATATAAATAATAAAAAACATAAATGAACTATTACATAAAGTAAAATATTAATTCTGCAGTAAAATATTACTACTAGTCATTAGCTAAAATACAATAAACTAAATTATTGATAAACATAACTAAATTGTGATTTTTTGTTCTATTGCAACAAGAACTATACTATACTATACTAGTAACAATATATATTAATGAAATCCATAAACTTAATAATTAATAACAGCATTTGTTTTTGTTACAGTCTAGAAAAAATTATAGAAATGTGTGAGAGTGTGTGTATCTATATATACTGTATATACACACAGTTGAAGTCAGAATTAATAGCCTCCCTTTGAATTTTTCTTTATTTTATTTTTCATATTTCCCAAACGCTGTTTAACAGATCAAGGAAATTTTCACAGTATGTGTAATAATATTTTTTCTTCTGGAGAAAGTCCTATTTGTTTTATTTCGGCTAGTATAAAAAAATTAAAAATTAGGTCAAAATTATTAGCCCCTAAGCTATATATATATATTTTAAATGTCCACAGAACAAACTATTGTTAAACAATATCTTGCCTAATTACCCTAACCTGCCAAGTTAATAAACCTACTGTAGTTAAGCCTTTAAATATCACATTAAGCTGTATAGAAGTGTCTTAAAAATATCTAGTCAAATATTATTTACTGTCATCATGACAAAGATAAAATAAATCAGTTATTTGAAATGAATTATTAAAACTATTATGTTTAGAAATGTGCTGAATAAATGTCTCTCTGTTAAACAGAAATTGGGGGAAATATAAACTGGGGGCTAATAGTTCTGACTTAAACTGTATATATATATATACACATATTTTTTTTTATAAAAATGCTATTATTAATACAACTAACAGCAATTATCTTTAAAATGAATGAAGTAATAACAGCAAATTTCCGTTCTTAGTGATGTCAGCAAGTGTGAGTAATTTTTGCTGTTTAAACATGTTAAAAACACTGCAGCAAATCATCAATTATCAATCAAGTAATTATTTACGTTCAGTGCAAAAACACCTTCTTTTCATAATCCCCACAGCAGATTGAGTGCTAAAACAAGCAGCATGTGCAAATAAATCACACTCTCCCTTTACATTCACTTTGTGAGTGCTTTATGAGTCTTTTTATGTCTTTGTCCACCGGGACTTTTGTGTTATTGTCTGTAAAAAGAAGAAGAAGGTCACTAAAGAACCCTGGTCAATCTGATGAAACAAAGAACACACACACACACACAAAGATCAATAATGTCTCCAAAAGACTCTTTCTTTGCAAACTGCCCTATTTCTTTCTCTCAAACGAATAAATACGGCAACTGCGACAAACAGGGAATTACTCCACCCAATTAATGAGCATCCATAAAGCCTGCGCTGTCATTCTGTTGAGCTGTTAGTGTAAAGCAGGTCGAGCTCAAGCAGCAACACATATTCAGGAAAGAATACTGTTTTTCACGCACCTTTCAATTACAGCCTTCTGGCTTGCATAAAATGCTTTTTTTCTGTATAATCTAAAGAAAATATCAAAAATAAACTTCCAAATGTTTCATCCTACACACTTTCATTCTGCCTGTAGATTTCTGTTACAATACCACATATTTTTAAAGGCTTCTTTTCTTAAAATGATTTTGAGATCTCTTAGATTCACCAAACTGCATGATTTTATTCATATCTGTATTCTTATTTTTCTTATACAGAAATACATGCTTTACTGTTTATTTTACCTAGTTTTATAATTAATTTAATAAAAAAATACATTTTTTAAAGAGTGTTTAAAATGATGGAGTGATTAAAACAGTTTCCCCAAATGCCCTTTCACTCTAGTTTGTCAATAAAATAATCAATCATTTTCTGACTTTAATAGTTTTTCTGAATCTGACTTTATTTAATGTTCAATTATTATTGTGATAGAAATGTATGCAAATGAGCATGTATTTAATAAAACAACGGCTACTTTGCATACGTAAACAACATTTAAGAAAAATAAAGCAAAAATATTTGCAATTCTTGATGTAATCGAACAACTGAGGAAGTTTGTTGATAAAAATTATTCCCCCCCCCCCTGTTTATCTGCAGTGTCTTCAAGGGCCTGTAGTTATAACAACACATGGCGGCTTCTCATTGGCCGCTTTTCCCATTTCTGTCCCTATAGCAACAATCTTCTCTAGCTTCATTTGTAATGATCACTACTATTTTACCCTGGAAAATTGAATCAATGGGAGGATATTTCCTTTCAGCACAGAGCATGGTTTTCAATTACAACGCAGCATCCGGAAGTGGCGATCCGATGCTGAGTTTATGAACTGCAGATGAAGCAGCTTCACTCCCACGTCTGCTTCAATCAACCTCCATGACTTTCTCCATCACCTTCCCACTACTGAATAAGGCTTACTACAAACACTTCTGACAATCATTTTACACTTAATAATAATTATTAACATCCATAAAATTGCACAGAACAATATTTTCCCTGAAAAAGCTTCAGACTCAGAAAACAAGGCTTCTGCAAATGTATTTTTGGAAAGACAATGATGAAAGGAACTCTTCCAAACAAGTTTTGTGTTCCACACAAGCAATATTTCAGGTAACACTTTACAAAAAGGTTCTATTAGTTCATGTTATTTGATGCATTTACCAACATAAACAAACAATGAACAGTTCATTTATTACACTATTTATTCCTCTTTGGTAACTTTAGTTAAACGGAAATCAAGTTAATCTTTGCTGTACTAACATTGCCAAGCAAAACTTTAGATTTTAGACATTAGTATATGTTGAACTGTGATTTATAAATGGTGATCAAGTATTGCTCATCCTTAATTCATAAAAGCTCATGTTGTTCTGTGCATGTACCTGAGTTTTTAAAGGTACAGTTCATATATCTGACTGTTTGTATTAAATGACAAAATTGTTTTACAAATAGTATATAAATATATTTTATACCTTTTAATACAAGAATTGCTGTGCTGTGAAGAAAATATAAAACTGTTAATGGAAAACATTGTCAATGCACCGTGATGCACCGAGTTAAGGAATTGAATCGAATCGATGGCATGATAATTGTAACCGAACCGTGAGACTAGTGTAGGTTCACACCTCTAATGTTAATAAATACATTATTAACAACTATTAACTAATGAACATTGTTGTAAAGTAACTGATTACAATTTAATAATATTAATAATAATTACAATAATAAACAAATAAATGAACCTAATTATAATTATACTTTTTTCCCCCGCAGTATCACTATTGTTACTATTAAAAATAATAAAACATAACACAAAAAATACCAATAAAGCATACAAAATGGGGCGGAATACATTTTGAACTTCACATAGAGGCAACATATCTAGGTGTTTGAATATTTTAGAGCAAATGAGCCAAAAAGTATGACATTTACTACAGACATTTCTGTTATTGCTTAAAATTTTTTTTCATATTAACATTGAACAATAAAGTTGTTTATAATAAATAGCCACCAGTTCTGTCATCTAACCACTTAAAATTCTCAAGCTCTTCAAAGTAGAACAGATGGTGATTAGCTGTCTATGTTTTTAGCATTTCAACAAAAGTCATTCTAAAAGTGATTACTAGAAACCAATCACACAGACGCACCTTTGCAACAAAAACATGCGAGTTGCAGAACTCAAAAATAATTCTAATAAAGCACCTCCCCACCATGTTGCCACTGTCATGCCAAATAGAAGCAGAAGCTTGCAATGTTTGCCCCTGAGTCCTGAATAGTCAAGTGCTTTGGATTTGACATTTATAAGATTTATCATTGAGTAAAAGTGTATTTTAAAAACACAGTGCTACTTGTGTGAGGCTGTAAGAAAGACACAAAATGCAGGAGTCATGTAAATCTATCAAGTGCATGTAATAATAATAGTAAAGTTTATTAGTAATGCACTTTTCTTAAACTCAAAGCACTACACAGAAAAACAATGTTTACATACACTTAATAGAAAAGTAACACATTGGAATAGAAAAAAGGGGCCAAAAGCGGCTATGTGATTAAAAAGACTATAGAACACACAAGACGTTTCACTCGTATAGTTTTGAATGGGGAAGAGTGAAACAGTCAATATGGCAAACGAAGCCCCGCCTACTAGTACAGGAGCCAATCAGCAATCATTATAGACTGCTGATTCTCCAGGGAAGAAGCTCGGACAAGACGTGTGCTTTTACATCATTTTATGTGGTCAATAAACACACTGGAATCTCAGCGAATACTTGCTTCACAGACATAAGAAATATATCCTAATAAAGCTTGAAATCCCTACTTTTAAATTAACCCACTACACTTAAAAACAAACTTTTTGTTTTGTTTTGTAATCTGTAAGAAACGAACTTTAGGTACAGTCCTTCCGGTCAAACGCACATCACATGACAGCAGTAACTACTCAAACCCACACAAACTTGTAAACTAAGAGTGACTTTCATTTCTGGAGGAGGTTTACCATCAAGGTTGGTGTCGTGATCTTGTTACTT